GGCTCCTGGTTCTTCTCTCAGTGGGAAGCAGGAGGCTGCTGTGGCTCCGGGCTCGGGAGGAGCAGGATCTCAGCAGGAGCAGCGTTCCGAGGAGCTGGGAGCGGGCACAGGGCAGGGGCTCGGGAGGAGCAGGATCTCAGCAGGAGCAGCGTTCCGAGGAGCTGGGAGCAGGCACAGGGCAGGGCTCGGGAGGAGCAGGATCCCGGTAGGAGCAGCGTTCCGAGGAGCTGGGAGCAGGCACAGGGCAGGGGCCGCGGAGGGGGATCGGCCCCGCCGAGCTCCAGCATCGCCGCATCCCCTGCAGGTCCAGGCGCGCTCCCCGCGGCACCGGGCCAAGGCAAACAGCGGGAACCCGATCCCCTCCCGCGGGCGGCACGGGATGGGGCCGCTGTTTACCCCGGAGCCGCAGCCGGGGGCCCCGAGCCGAGCCCGAGCCCGGTCCGGGGCTCATCGCGGGCTCATGGCGCTGCCGCTGCTGCTGCCGCTGCTGCTGGGGGCGGCGGGCGCTGCCGTGCCCCCGGCCGTGCCCCCGGCCGTGCCCGCGCCCCGCGAGCTGGCGCGATCCGTGCTGGAGACGCACGGGCAGGAGCTGCGGCTGCTGCGGCTGCTCGGAGTGGCCCGGACGGTAGGAAAAGGGTGCGGGGGTGCTCCGGGATCCCGCTCCATCCCGTGCGGGGCCCCACGGAGCTTCTCTCCCGGCAGAGCTTCGACTGGGGGACCCACTTCAGCATCAACTTCACGGCGCGGCAGCCGCCCTGCCCCAAGCCCGCCCCGGACCCCCGCGGCTGCCGGGGCCGCCCGGGCAGGGTGAGCGGGGAGCGGGAGCCCCGAACCCGGGAATCGGGGGGTCCCCGGTGTGCTGAAGCCGCTGTGTCCGCAGGTGCAGCGCTGCTCGGCCCAGGTGTCCGTGTTCACCTTCCTGCCCGACGTGCCGCTCTCGATGGTGGAGTGCGGCCGGGAGCCGGTGAGGGCTCCGGGAGCGCATCCCGGGGGTGGGACACGCGTCCCCATCACTTCGGGGGGTTTTTTTGGCTCTGGAGTGAAATCTCCCCTTTATTTCTCCCCGCAGCAGCCCGGTGACAGCGCCCAGCCCCGCTCCCCTGGCACCAACCCAGGTCACTCATCATCCTCCTCATCCTCATCATCATCCTCGGGGCCCCCTCCGCGGCCTCGGCCCCCTCCCAGCGCGTCCCGCCGCCCCCTGTCCCCAGCGGAGCCGCAATAAAGAGATTTCGGGCTCGGACCTGTGCGTGTGTGCGGGTGACAGTTTGGGGGGGTGACAGTTTGGGGGGGTGACAGTTCGGGGGGTACCCTCGGCTTGGGCAACAGCGATGGGGCAACTCTGGGCTTGTGCAACCCCGCGGGCACCCACCCGACACGGGCAACGTGTCACCACCCGAGGGCTCCTGGCCAAGGGGCCCCCGAGGGGTGCAGATGCCACCGCCCATCACGGGGACCCCCCCAAAAGAACGGCCGCTCTGCGGCTTGGGGCCGGGCGTTTCCCGAGGGGCAGCCCCGGGGCGGGTCCCCGACGTCCCGTGGGGGATAAAAGGGGCGCGGGGGTGGCCGTGGGGACAGCGATGGCGAGCCCGTGGGTGCTGCTGCTGGCGGTGCTGGGGGGCGCCTGCGCCCTGCCCGCCCCGGCGCCCCTCTCGTACACCGAGGCGCTGGCGCAGGCCGTGGATTCCTACAACCAACAGCCCGAGGTGCAGAACGCCTTCAGGCTGCTCAGCGCCGAGCCCGAGCCCGGCCCGGTGAGTGCCCCCCACCCGGGACCCCCCCCTTTCCCACGGGTGACACCCCCACCCCGCTCGTGGTGCCTGATCGGGGCTGCCCAGCCCGACCCTGAGCCCGCCCCGGTGAGTGCCCCCCACTCGGGACCCCCCATTTGTGACCAGGACCCCAATTCCTGTCCCCCCACTCGGGGTGCACAATGCCGACCCATGAGTGAGTGCCCCCCACCCGGGACCCCCCATTTGTGACCATGACCCCAGTTCCTGTCCCCCCACTCACCCCCCACTCACAGTATCCCACTCGTGAGAGCCTCCCACCCCGGACCCCCTATTTGTGACCGTGACTCCGATTCCTGTCCCCCCACTCGGGGTGCACAGTGCCGACCCATGAGTGAGTGCCCCCCACCCGTGACCCCCTATTTGTGATCAGGACCCCTATTCCTGTCCCCCGACTCGAGGCACCCCACTCGGGGTGCACAGTGCTGATCCGTGAGTGTCACCCACTTGTGACCCCCGCAGGACCCCTATTCCTGTCCCCCCACTCGGCGTGCACAATGCCGACCCCACTCGTGAGTGCCCCCCACTCGGGACCCCCCATTTGTGATCATGACCCCAATTCCTGTCCCCCCACTCGTGTCCTCCCATTTGTCACACACCCCTTTGTGACAGCTCAGCGCTGGCCCTGAGCCCACACCAGTGACTGTCACCCCACTGGTGACCCCCTCCGAGTGCCACCCCATTGCTGACCCCTCTGCTGTCTCCTGCCCCCCACGCGTGTCCCCAGGGCGTGGAGCTGAGCTCGCTGCGGAAACTCAACTTCAGCATGATGGAGACGGAGTGCGCGGCCAGCGCCCGCGCCAACCCCGACGACTGCGACTTCAAGGAGAACGGGGTGAGGAGGAGGAGGAGGAGGAGGAGGAGGAGCGGGAGGAAGGGGGCGCGGGGGCCCGCTGCCATCCCCGGGTGACACCGCGTGTCCCCCCAGGCCATCAAGGAGTGCTCGGGGCCGGTGCAGTTCCGGCAGGACTCGCCCGAGATCGACCTGAGCTGCTCCGACGCCTCCTCCGACGTGAGCGGGGGAGCCGGGGTGGGAGGGGAGGGCCCCGAGGGTCCCGCATCCCTGGGAGGGTCCCTGCCTGCCCCACATCCCCCAAAAGGGACACCCCGAGGGCTCTGCTGCCCCGTGGTGGCTCCACAGGAGGGTGGGGGGTCCTGGGTGGGGGGTTTCAGGTGCAGAGTCCCATGGGCGGGGTGCTGGGTTTGAGTGTGGGGTGCAGGGCCCCAGGTGGGGCATCCTGGGTGGGGTCTGGCCTTGGGGACACGAGTGGGGTCCCGAGTGTTGGATTCTGGATATGGGGTGCCAAGTGTCCCAGGTAGGGGGGTCCCTGGTGTGGGGACACGAGCGGTGTCCCTGGAATGGGGTCCTGAGTGGGATCCTGTGGATGGGGTCTCTGGAATGGGGTCCTGGGTGGGAAATACCCCTGGTGTGGGATCCTGGGGATGGGATCTCGGGGATGAGGTCCCTGGTGTGGGATCCTGGGCGGGGAATAGCCCTGGTGTGGGGTTCTGGGTGAGATCCTGGGCATGGGGTCCCTGGTGCAGGGTCCTGGGTGGGATCCTGGGGAGGGGGTCGCTGGAATGGGGTCCTGGGTGGATTCCCAGGGATGGGGTCCCTGCAATGGGGTCCCTGGTGTGGGATCCTGTGGATGCGGTCCCTGGTGTGGGGTTCTGGGTGAGATTCTGGGCATGGGGTCCCTGGTGCAGGGTCCTGGGTGGATTCCCAGGGATGGGGTCCCTGCAATGGGGTCCCTGGTGTGGGATCCTGTGGATGCGGTCCCTGGTGCGGGGTCCTGGGTGGGTTTCCAGCTGCGGGATCCCTGGCTGGGGTCCCGGCTGTGCTCCCAAGGGGGATTCCCACACTTCCTGACCCCCCATCCCTCCTGCAGCCGGTTCTGATCCAGCGCGGCCGCTTCGGGCGCTTCCTGAGGAAGGTTCGGCGCTTCCGACCCAAGGTCAAGTTCAACGTCCACCTGAGGGGCTCCGTGGGGCTGGGCTGAGCAATAAAGGAGCCACCGGGAGTGGCCGTGCGGGCACCGCGTCCTCCTGTCTGTCTCTGTCACACGGGGAAACTGAGGCACGGCCGGGACACGGGGCTGCTCCGCCCTTGGGTTCGCTCTGGGGAGCCCCCAGGAGCCCACCCAAAAAAGGGGTCACTGCCATCCCCAGGGTGTCATTGTCCCCATAGTCATTGTCCCCGTGGTGGCATTGTCCCCGATGTGGCATTGTCCCCCCCAGCCAGCAGCGATGGCAAAGGGAGCTGGGGAGGGGACACAGGGGACACTGTGAGCCCTCTGGGGAGCTGCAAGGGGGAGTTCAGGTCCTGAGGAGACCCCCATGGTGGCTCAGTTTGGGACAGGGACATTGTGGGTGCAGATTTGGAGGGCTCGGGGACCCCTGTGCCCCAAAAGCGGCTGGGGCAGGGTCATGGCTGCAGCCCCCTGGCGGTGTCCCTCTGTCCCCCCGATATTCCCGTGGGTCTGTACCCCACAAACCCCTCTGTGGGGACCCCACAAACCCTCTGGGGACAGGGAAGGACAAGCCCAGGGCTCCGAGTCCCTGCAGGGGCCGGTGCCGGGAGGAGAGCCCGGTGGTGCCCGTGCTGTGCCCATTTTGGGGGAGCTGCTCCTGGGTTCTGTCACCAGCACCGTCCCCATCCTCGCGTCCCCCTTGGGGTGACAGCGGCAGGGAACGCACGGCAGCGCCGGGAGGCAGCTGCATTTGGGATGGGGCTGTCGGGGGTCCCCGAGGTGGCAGCACCGGCAGGGGGGTCCCTTTGCCCCTCCAGGGCCTTGGAGAGATGGGGGGACCCCAGATCTGCCCCAGAGAGCGCCCCCCACTCGTGACACCCCCATTCGTGACCCCCAGGGTGTTCCCAGCTCTCACAGCTCCCTGGCTGGGCATGGGGGGATTTGGGGTGTCTAGGAACACTCAGGGGTCCCCATTGGGGCACAGGGACACTCAGGGTGACACCGGGAGTGATGCAGGGACCTTTATTGGCAGTGAAGGGGACACAGGGAGGGGACACAGGGAGGGGACACAGGGAGGGGACACAGCGAGGGGACACAGGGAGGGGACACAGGGAGGGGACACAGGAAGGGGACACAGGGTGGGGACACAGAGAGGGGACACAGGAAGGGGACACAGGGTGGGGATACAGAGAGGGAACACCGGAGGGGACACAGGGAGGGGGCACAGCAGTGTCACCCCTCAGGGTTTGGGCGCCTTGAGGTTGAGCCTGTCCCGGATCCAGATCCGACCGCACTGGAAGAAGCCCTGGAAACGCTGCTTGACCTTGCCAAAGAAATCCTTGATCTTGGATTTCCAGACATGGCCCAACTGGGGAAACAAAGAGCAGGGTCAGACTCGGAGGGGGGGTGAGGAGCGGACCTGGGGACCCCCGGGGGACACGGAGCCATTCCAGCCCCTTCTCACCGCGGCCGGGGCCTTCTCGCAGGAGAGCTCCACCGTGGGCTGCTGCCCCTCCAGGAACGCGGAGCCCTGGCACCGGGTCAGAGCCTGTGGGGCACAGAGGGCACACAGGACAGCACAACCCCCTCGTGCCTCAGTTTCCCCACTGGATAACCCCCAGTTCCCACGGGACGAAGCCTCACCCCGAGCCAGCGGCTCTTGCAGCTGCTGGTGGCCGTTCCCGGTGCCCTGCACGTGGTTTCCTCCAGGGTGAAGCTCAGCTCCCGCCGGCTCTGCAGGTCTGAGGGCTGGGAAAAGGGCCAGGATCCATCAGGGATCCATCCCCCTCCCACAACGGGCCAGAACCAGCCCCAAGAATCCAGCCTGAAACGGGTCAGCCCCAAAACAAGGCAGCCCTACCCGGAGCAGGGCCGGATCCAGCAGTGCCCAGGCCTGGAGCCTCCCCTGGGAAGGGAGAGCCCAGCACTGACCCAGCCGGGCCGGGCCTGGAACGGGTCAGCCCCAAAACAAGGCAGCCCTACCCGGAGCAGGGCCGGATCCAGCAGTGCCCAGGCCTGGAGCCTCCCCTGGGAAGGGAGAGCCCAGCACTCACCCAGCCGGGCCGGGGCTGAGCCTCCCGCAGCCGCAGCACGAAGGGACTGACGGCCCTGGCGTTGAGCAGCTCCACGGCCGCCGCCACCACGGCCCCGTAGCTCAGGGACCCCGGTGGGGACGAGGACACCGCGGTGCCACCCTGTCCCACGGCGGTGCCACCCTGTCCCAGCGTGGCTCCGCGTGGATCTGGCGTGGAGGCTCCAGCCAGGCCCAGCAGCAGCAGCAGCGGTGGCAGCGCTCGGCTCGGCCCCATGGCGCTCCTGGATCCTGCTCCTGCTCCCCAGCGCTTTTATGGGAGCTGCGCTGGGCGTTCCAGGGGGTGAATCTGGCCAGGAGCCCAGCCCAGCCCTGCAGAGCCCCGGGCAGTGGGGAGCGCTGTGCCGGTCACCTCGGTCAGCAGGGACACCGCGGTCAGCGTCCCCCTGCCATGTGTGACCAGGGGTGACACACATGGCCTGCCAGATTAAGCTCTTTTTTGACCCAGAGATGGGGTAACTTTAAAAATTTTTAAAATTTTTATTCAATTTTCAGTCTTATGCGAAGGGTGAGACAACACAGATGTTATCATTCACGCCATCACAATCAAAACCCAACTATTTCCTAATTACAACACATTATAAGCGTTTCTTGGCCTATCAGCTTTTGCCACACCATGCTGTAAATGTTATAAAGCCAATAATCTAAAATTACTTTTTAATCTTTCACAGTTCTATTTCTCCAGTTTGCAAGGCCATCCTTTAAAACTTGTTCCTCATTCCATTTCTCTCCCTCAGCAATGCCTGTCCGGCTCCATGGCATTTCTAAGTCAGCATTTCTCGTCTCAGGGTTTGCACACAGATCACACACTGTGTGAGCCTTCTGTCAGGCTTGGAGAATTCCCTACAAATCCATTTCCCACATTGGCCATTGTGAAAAATGCATGTGTTTAATGATTGGCTTTTCGCAAATATTAAAATGAATATTATATGTGTTGTGTGTTAAAAAGCAATGCTGTATTAATTCTCTTAAGTACTGTGTGAAATACAGTTTTAGGTTATAAAAATTGTTAAAATAGAAACTGTGCTATGTAAGATGCTTTGTTTAACAGAAAGGGCTTGCAGCGAGACAGCAGCCACAGGACACCTGAGTCTTCCAGAGAACAAGAATTTATTGCCTTCTTATCAGAAGAAATGAACTTTTTCCCGCCTCGAAGGCACTGTTAGGATTAGAGGGGAGAAGTTGCTGATGACCAGACAGAATCCTGTGTTTGAATGGAATTTATGCATCATGTATTCATGTATGAATATGCAACAGGCTGTTGTTCTTAAGCGTTAATCCTTTGTTAACGTGGGTCCTTTGTCTGGGCTCGTGATGCCCAGAAAAAGATTCCCAAGACCTCCGTAAATCTTTGTTTTTATTGTCTCATATTGTCCTAATTCAATTTGTCCAAATTGTTATTACTCTAATTGTGTTGCTATTCTTTTTAACCATTTTATTACTATTAAACTTTTAAAAACTTTAAAAAACAAGTGATTGGCGTTTTTCACAGCCGTGGATGGTCCAGAGCGTGGTGGGGATGAAAGGTCTGAGCCAGGTGAGGGTCGGGTTCTTCTCCCAGGGAACACGGATAAAGGGAAACAGCTTCAGGCTGGGCCAGGGGAGGTTCAGGCTGGATTTGGGACAATTCCTTCCCCAGAAAGGGCTGGCACAGCTGCCCAGGGCATGGTGGAGTCCCCATTGGTGAGGGGATTTAAAACCCCTGTGGAGGTGGCACTTGGGGACACAGTGGCAGTGCTGGGGGGTTGATTGGGGTTTTTTTGCTCTCCCAGGACTTTTCCCCTGGATTCTCTGCAGACATTCGGGGTTTTCCAGCCCGGGGTGATTTATGGCCTGTCCCCCGTGCAAACAGGGCAGCAGGAAGCTCAGGAGGACACCCAGGATCCTGCCCTGAGGGTGACCCTCGGATTGGGAGCACCAGCACTGAAAAACATCCTCATAAATCACACGGGGACAATGGCACCACACCGGGGTGGCACCTGGAAGTCCCCAGGGAGGGACAGTGTCAGTCAGGGCCCTGCAGCAGACCCCAGGACATTCCAGGTGCAGACAGCTCCAGCTTTCCATGGAGAAAGGTGGGATCCACATCCAGGCGTGGGGATCCAACACATCCCCAGGGATTCATTGGTCTCACTGCTTCCCTTCAGTCTTTCCCATTTCCCTCCAAACTGTGTCCCGTTCCTTAAAAATTCCCTTTAAATTCTGTAATTCCTTCCAAATTCCTTCCCAGATTCCCTCCAAATTCTTCAATTCCTTCCGAATTTCCTCCAAAATCCTCCCAGCTCCTTCCAAACTCCTCAGCTATTCCCATTTTCCCCATGTATCCCACCTAGGATTTAACAGTGAGAGAAAGAGTCTCAAAATAGATGTAAAATATTTAAATTTCATTTTTAGCTGCCTGTGCCAGCCCAAAAAGCCACAAAATCCTTGGAGGCCATTTTGGGAAAAGAAAAGGGAAAATTCCGTGAGTTTTCCTTGGGGCATTGATTGGTCTCACTGCTTCCCTTCAATCTTTCCCAATTCCTTCCAAACTGTGTCCTGTTCCTTAAAAATTCCCTTTAAATTCTGTAATTCCTTCCAAATTCCTTCCCAGATTCCCTCCAAATTCTTCAATTCCTTCTGAACTTCCTCCAAAATCCTCCCAGCTCCTTCCAAACTCCTCAGCTATTCCCATTTTCCCCATGTATCCCGCTTAGGATTTAACAGCAAGAGTTTCAAAATAGATGTAAAATATTTAAATTTCATTTTTAGCTGCCCGTGCCAGCCCTGAGCAGCCTCCCAAAAGCCACAAAATCCTTGGGAATAAAAAAGGGAAAATTGAGTGAGTTTTAATTGGGAAGTTGTGATTCCCAGGACATCTCCCACCCCTGACAGGGACAGTAAATCTCAAAAAACCCAAAACCAAACCCTGGGCCCCGAGCTGAGGAAATTCCCTGCTCATAAATCTGGCTCGGGGTTTGTTTGCCCTTCCCAGGGCTGAGCTGTCCCTCCTCCTTCCGGAACATTCCTGGGTTTGTCCTGGAGCCGCTCCCACAGCCAGGCCCCGGTTCCCAGTCCCACACAGGGGATGGGAATGGTTGGGATTTAGGATCCTTCCACCCCAGCAGGTCTGGGATGCTCGGATACAAAAGGAAAAGCACGGCTGGTCCGTCATGGAATCATCCTGGAGTGTTTGGGTTATAATGGAACACAAATCCCATTCCACACCATGGCCAGGGACACCTCCCACTGCTCCCAGTGTCCCGCCTGGCCTTGGGCACTGCCACGGATCCAGGGCAGTGTGAAAAACACCAATCACTTGGGGTTTTTTTAAATTTTAAAAGTTTAATAGTAATAAAATGGTTATAAAAATAGGAACACAATTAGAGTAATATTAATTTGGACAATTAGTACAATATGAGACAATAGAGACAAAGAGTTGTGGACAGTCTGGGTTCCTTTTCTGGGCAGCACGAGCCCAAAAAAAGAACACCCGTTAACAAAGGATTAACCCTTAAAAACAACGGCCTGTTGAATATTCATACACCTCATACATGATGCATAAATTCCATTCAAACACAGGATTCTGTCTGGTCAGTGTCAACTTCTTCCTCTGAATCCTAAGAGCGCCTTTGAGGTGGGAAGAAGTTCATTTCTTCTGATAAGAGAGCAATAAATTCTCTTTCTCTGAAAGATTCAGCTGTCCTGTGGCTGCTATCTCGCTGCGAGTCCTTTCTTTAAAAAACTATCCTACATAGCATGGTTTCTATTTTAACATTTTTTAATAACCTAAAACTATATTTAACACAGCACTTAAGAGAATTAATACAGCATTACTTTCTAACACACAACACGTATAATATTCATTTTAATATTTCCAAAAAGTCAATCATAAAATACGTATTTTTCACAGGCAGGCACAGCTGCTCTGGGAATCCCATCCCAGCCAGGAATTCCCAATTCCCAATCTCCCATCCATCCCTGCCCTCTGGCACTGGGAGCCATTCCCTGTGTCCTGTCCCTCCATGCCTTGTCCCCAGTCCCTCTCCAGCTCTCCTGGAGCCCTTCCAGGCCCTGCCAGGGCTCTGAGCTCTCCCTGGAGCTGCTCCTGTCCAGGGGAGCATTCCCAGCTCTCCCAGCCTGGCTCCAGCCCTGCAGCAGCTCCGGGGCCTCCTCTGGATCTCTCCCGGTCCCAGCCCGGTCCCTGCCCGGTTCCCGTTTCCCGCTCCGGGCCTGTCCCCGTTTCCACAGCGACAGCACCGCCCTGGTCACCATGGCAACCGCGCCTGACGGGGCGTGGTCACGTCGCTCAACACGCGCCGGCGCTTCCGCGTTAGACCACGCCCCCATCGTAACCTCGCGCCTCGACCCGGAAGTGGCGCGTTCCCGCGCTCAGTGGGCGCCGCCATGTTGGGAGGCTGTGCAGCATCCGGGCAGGGCGGTGAGCGCGGTGATTGGCGGAGCGCGGCACGTGACGTGCAACTCGCACCGCGATTGGGCGGCGGTGCCGCCGCTTCCGCGCGGTGCGGATCGGGGGTCTTGGGGGTACCCGGGATGGGGGAAGGTGACGGGGAGCCCCGGCCCTCAAAGCGAGCCTGGAGCCGGGACACAGCGGCTTTCGAGACATTTCACCGGCTTTATTTGTTTTAAAGTCCCGTTTCACCGTCCACCAGCACTAAAAGGCGGGAATTCCTTACAGGAATTGCAGAGTCATGGAATTGCTGAGATTAACAAAGCCCTCAAAGATGCCCGAGTCCAAGCCCAGCACTGCCCCATGCCCCAAGTGCCACATCCACAGGGCTTTTCAATCCCTGCAGGGATGGGCACTCCACCCCTGCCCTGGGCAGCTTTGCAGAGTTTGAGATCTCTCTCTTGGAGAGCCCTTTCCATGAGGAACATTCCCAATATCCCACCTGAACCTGCCCTTGAGGCCATTCCCTCTGGTCCTGTTCCCTGGGAGCAGAGCCCGACCCCTCCTGGCTCCAACCTCCCTCCTTCCAGGGAACTGCAGGAGCCAGAAGGTGCCCCCTGAGCCTCCTCTTCTCCAGGATCAGCCCCTCCAGCTCCCTCAGAAGGATTTGGGATATGGCAGGAGAATGCCGAAAGCCCCAAAGTCAGCACCCTCAGCTGTCAGAACATCCTGCTGCCAAAACCAGCAGCAGCCACGGATGGTGGGAGCATCCCCAATTCAGGCACCCCAGATTTTCCCCAGGACAGCCCCGGCTCCATGGAGAACTG